ATTTACAAAAAAAAAAAACAAAAAAAAAAATCCGATCTACTGTATGTTCTTTCCTTATCTTTTAATGTATTTTAATGTGCACCTCACCTTTAGGTATTTTATCAGCTCTAATGGGTTAGCCTCTGACGTTGTCCTCATCAGCTGGCAGTGTTGAAAGAAATTGTGTAGATGCAGGTCCTGTGGACAGAGACGTAGTACCTGTAACTGACCGGCGTAGCTCTCACACAAACTAAAATGGGTGGGGGTGGTGAATCCAAACTATACCTGAGCATATATTGTTGAAACCACATGGTTCCGCACTTTGAATAACGTCTTGGCATTCTCCACCCACTTGATATCTGGTTGCGACTGTTGGAGACAGATTTCAAGTTTTATTAGTCCACATCACTTCCTGTTGTCTGAAACCAGTGGTTCTCAATTATTTTCGATGTCATGTCCCCCCCCCGTTTTCACCCCTGCGAATTGAAATACTATTGAGAACCTGATAACATGTATATTGTTTATCTGTACAAACCACTGTATGAGTTGCTGCCACCTAGTGACTGGAGGTTGTTATCATTCAAGCAATACAGCAGTGGTACACTTATGTACAGCGTGCCATATTCCACTGGAAGACCCTCACGCCCCCGGGCACCTCATCATGCCCACCCGGGGATTCCTGCCCGACTATTTGAGAAATGCTGCCTTAAACAGTCAAGATTAGTGTTAGAAATCGTGGTTGTACCTTTCTTGTATCTTGACACAGGTATCCAGGCGGCAGGGTGGACGCTACGGGAAGCTGGAGTTCTAAAGATTGCATCCTCCCGTCTTTAAGCAGAGGCATCCAGGAATAACCCACTGAGGAAGTAACAAAAAAATAAAAATATTGAACACAGACATCCTGTGACTCAAAGCCTGGACTTTCATTCTGTTGCACTCATATGTACCACGTAGTAAAAATGGAGGAGAGTAGGTTTTCAGCACACTCACCCAGAGACTCCACTCCCTCTCTCTTCTTGCTGCTGGCCTTGCTGCTGGACTCACAGCTGATATGGTAGAAGGTGAAGAGGACGTGGTGCTTCTCGTGCAAATGGACTGGCAATTCGATCTTCACCTGCACACAGATAGTATTGCACGTCTCATTCCTTACAGTGAAGTGAGTGGGAAGAACTTTTTCGCACAAAAAATCTTTTCCTTTTTGTTCTTCAATTTTCTTAAGAGAATAAACCACTGGGTCACCTTCTATTCTGTGGGCTTTATCCACTTGGATTTGTATTTACTTTAAAGCTGTATTTTCAATACAATCCACAAGGGAGCAGCAATCTCCCACCTTTTATTGGCACAGCCTGATTTTACTCACAGGAAATGACACATAAAGGAGCAGTTGACGCGGTCCTACTCAATCACAATGAATGCATGCATCACTATGTGCCATAAACTCTTCTCGGTTGATTAAACCGAATATTTGTACATGTCTTTCACAACCTTCAAGCCTGTGTGGTTGAGCGTCTTTGGGAAAGTCCACATCTGTGAACCACTGACATGACATTTAAACAAAAACATTTTTAAAGGCTGACCTACTCACACCATATATAGATTTGAAAAAAAATGTTTCACACACAAGGGGTATTCAAATTCTCCTCATAAAAAACACATCAGAGAGGTCGAACATCCTTGTGTTTGAGCTGAAGCAGAAACTTTCCATTAGGAGAGCCAAGTTTTAAGGACATGGACGTTAATCTCAGAGAGCCCACCACAGTGTGAGTGCATTTAAGGACTACTGAAGTCCTCATATTTTTCACAGCAACACCAAGTTGCTCCAATCTCTCCAACAATAGCCCCCCTACTGGCTCCCTGCGTGTGCTCAGTGATAGTGAGTTTGCTTCATCAGTCATGTGTGAAAACTCTTGGACAGATTAATGGGATTAACGTGTTTCCAGGAATAAAAACAGTCAACTTGGACAGATTAATGGGATTATCTCAGCACTGGTCGGGGATTGAGTACCAAGTACACGTAAGTAACAAACGTGTTTCCAGGAATAAAAACAGTCATGGTAACCAGTTTCCTGTTACTCCAGAGATACTTTAAACTACTGTTTCCCAAGAGTGGGTCGTGACCCTCAGTTGGGTCACAAGAGATTTTTTTTTTTTTTTTTGGTCATTTTGCATCATGTTTCCCAGGAGTTTACGAATAATATCTATTGACTTGGGTCGCGAAGGTTTGTGACTTTTAAAATATGGGTCCCCAGAAAATACGTTTGGGAAACACTGATTTAAACGGTAAGTTTCCAGTTGTATTCATCGACTAAGCGCAGATGACACATTTGACCTGATGCCTGGTCTTTCTCACCTCGTCGTAGAACTCCGGGCTCTGGTTGTGGTGCAGGACGGCTGCGTAGGTGCTGCCCGTGAAGAGCGAGTCTCCTGGCTTGCCGTAGATGCACTGAAAGTCAAGCACATCACACACACACACATCAATAACGCAACTCTGGCTGTCTGTTGTTGGGGCACGGCAGTGACTAAGTGTTCAACAATCTGTGGTTACTGACAATATTTACAGGGGGGAAAAGGGCAGGCCTTCATCACCTGACAATTTGAAGTTTGAAAAAAAAAAACAGAATCAACAAAAATACAGGATGTGTAAACATGAGGCGGTCTAGACACAAAACAATAATGTTTTTTAACTCCTACTCCTATCTCCCGCTCAATGCAGTTTTGCTTCCACGAACACACCACCGTGGCCCTCTTCTGGTGAACGCCACGAACACAACAATTACAGAACTCTAATTCCACATGTGGCGACACAGTTATTGTGTCCTTCTCTTCAGATGGTAATTAAACCCATTAGTGGTTAAAATAAATGGAGGGGTCTTTCAGGAATGTAACCTTTTGCACAGAACCATGCCAGTGTGCTTGGTGTGAAGTTTGTGAGGAAAAAAAAACAAAACCAGGATGTAACATGATGTAAGACGCACAAAAAAAACGGAAAGAAAAAAACAAAAAAAGATGATGCCCTCTGGTGGCAGGTTTGTTTGTCAATAAATAGGATGTGGATAATTACAATTGCCTCCACCATTGTGGACAATAAATAGCACTGGTGGCCAACTGAAGGACAGAGTGCTGGAGCCAAGTACTTAAGACTGAGACTGATTGGAGCCACGGGTCACGATAACAGGGAGTCTAAGAAAGAGAATTTGGAGTCTGGACAAGACCTGACTGCATAAGGAAAAATCTCTATCCAAGATTGAAACTCAGATGTGTAGTTGAATACGACTACAAACAACACGACACTTTAGCTGCTAGCGTTCTGGATCAACCTGAATGAATTGAAAGTACAAGTTAATGAAACCGGAACTCTCGGGTGAATGTGGGTCAAGAAGGAACGTTAACATTATTTTATAACAAAAAATGTTTTTTTCCATTGACTATCTCAGTTTTCCTCCTAATTCCCCCACATTCAGGTTTCAGCTAACTCTGGCTACATCTGGACAGTAGTCTCATGCAGCTACTGCTGCTAATGCTGCTGCTGTCAGTGTGGTTGAGTCAGTTCACATTAGTTGTTATTATTTTTTGTGTTTCTTGCCGCCTGTCAAGTAGGAAAAAGGGGAAGCGGGCAATCCTACATGCTTTGATGGCTTTTTTTTTCCAATCACAAATACTTGAGGTGTGTGGCCAAAGAGAAATTACGAGAAGGAGAAGAGAGGAAAAGGAAAAAAAAAAAACACTGACCGTTCATTATCTTCTCCTGCCAGCTATAATAACCCGTTTCCCTAAGCTTTTCCTTTCTCCCTTTCTGGGCCCTTGGCTGTACTTGTTCTTCCACTTTGCAAATTTGAAGAAATAGCACAAACCATGTCAAAGAATTTTTTTTAAAGCAGCAACTTTTATTGTCCTTACATGCGGTGATTATGTGGATTTATTAATGCAATTTAGGGGGAAATAAAAGGAACGTTTTTCCTTGTGGTGGAGTGACTTAAACCTCTTTCATGTCAAAATTAAATCATGTTAATACATGAAACATAATACACTTTACTCTGTTATTGATTTCTGATTTATGGTTCAACTCACCTTTAAGGCGACGGCACCTTCTTCATCCGAGTCTCTGAACTGGATGCAAACTGCTATGTTTCTTGCCTAGTGGGGAAAACACAGCCGTTCAATGACTGCAGATACTGACATATCAGAGACATATCATGCAACTGATTAAGGATCTTTGATGTTTAAATAAAATGTTAATAACATGATTTGGATTTAGCGCAGCTGGCGTCCTTACAGGACTCTTTAACAGCCCTGACCTGTTCAGCCATTTTCTGTGCCTTTACCTTTAAATGCTAATGAGGCTCTGTGAGCTCCGCCCAGCTCTGGTGTGATGGGAAGATCTAAGGCAGGGGTGTCAAACTCAGTTTGGTTCATGGGCCACATTCAACCTGATTAGATGTCAATTGGGCCGGACCAGTACAATCATGACATAATTAACTATAAATAACAATAAGTCCATGTTTTTCCCCTCTCTGTTTTCATGCAAAGAAGTACAAGTATATTTGACAAATCTTAATTATGTGATAATATTACATTTTTTAAATTAATTATAATGAAATATAATTTTAAACACAACATTTCTTGAAAAGTTTTTTTGTTTTCAAAATTCATCAAGATTGAAACCTCAAGCAGGCCAGTTTTGGCCCGCAGGGTGTATGGTTGACACCCCTGATCTAAAGACAGGTACAGGCAACCATGACAACGGTTGACGAATGGCTGCCAGACAACAAACTGCTGTCTAACCACAATTGTTTGAGCCAGAGTCAGACCCAGAACAAGAAACAGCGCAAAGAAAAGGATGGAACTTTTTTTAGCCATATCACTTGTTTATACTAATATTTAAACTAACAAACGTTACCAAGTAATTTTTTTATAACGTGTCCCCTGTTTGAACTCTCTTGTTCCTGGAGTCACACACCTTGGTGAAGGTCTTCTGATTGTCATACTTGAGCTGCAGCGGGTAGACGTAGAGTTGGTTTTTGTACGTGGTGAACGGGTAGTTGTACTTGGCCTCCTCTGGCAAGAACTCTTCGACATCCACGGACACTCTCTCGCAGCCGTCCTCGAAAGGCCTGACGGGAATGTAGGAGGATGTCACCGTATCTACAGAGCAGAGCTCACAAGTTAGAGAAGTGTGGAGTCACGAGTGACTTCCTGTTTCACATGTCACCTCCCCCCCAAAAGAATCTCTAACATATTGACATCTATACCACCATCCAACATTACACTTGATGCTAACATACAAGACACGAGCAGGAGATTGTGCTGCTGTGTTTGTCTTATAAGCAGTTGTGCAGCTTTAAAATGTGACCACTGTTTCAGACACAGAGAGACCAATGTTAGCATAAGGGGAGTGTGACGACATACTTGAGATGTCAGGAGGAACACATTCAATGGTGACATTCATCTGTCCAGGGATGGTCTGAAGTTTGCTCTTCTCTGGCCTGACGAGGAAACAAACATGAGGAGATTTTTTATCGTCTTCAAGGTGCTTTTTTTTTTGTTAACAGCACTTAGCAGAAAATAATGACACAGTATACACATGCATTTTCCAATTATGTATGTGTTCCGTATAGAGGCAACAGCTTGTGTTTACTTCCAGGGTATGGCTGCGGCCTCTATATGGCTTTTACTGTGTATACTGCACTGTGTGTGAACCTCAGCGACTGCTCTTGATTATAATACATGAAAAAATGGGACTTCATGTCACGGCAGCTCAGTCCACCTCAAAAGAGCTATTCTGGTTGGAGGCACACACAGTGATTTGCCATTTCCACTTGGACAGAAGCAGCTGTGTAGTTTGTTGGTGACAGATGTTAATGTAGTAGTTGTTAATGGTGTTAATGACGACCACTCAACAAGCCTGAAAGTTTTGCCATCTTTTGGCATATAATGTACTGAACATGGAATCCAACCCACAACCATTGGGTGTTAGACATTTGCACTATAAGCTGATATGCAGGTTAATGTGTCAACGTTGAATAAGTGAAGAAGTCTGTGAGCCGTTATTTAATGTTCTAATGTGGACTTTGTGAGCCAAAAAATACATATAAAACGTGCACTGTTAGACAACCGTCTCTTGTACACGTCCGCGCGACTCACTTCCTGATGTCAGACAGCAGCTTGATGATGTCTTCCGTGGAGATTTTGCTGCTGTCCTGGCGATAGAGTGGAGAAAACTTGCCATCCATATCCAGGCTTCCCTGAGCATCTTTGAACACCGGCCTGAAAACACACAGTTCACATTGACATCTGTTCACCATTACATATAATACATAAAATTATTATTTATATATATATTATATTATATTATATATATATATGTCCCCATCTTACTGCACAGCCCAGGCAAATGTCATCCTGTACT